GGATTATCCAAAGTTTATCCAGCCCTCACACACACAGCGGAGCCTAAAACAGAGCCTACTTGCATTCGATGCATACTTTTTAAATAAGAAAAAGATTTGCCCTTGAGGAAAATTAGCCAAGTGGTCTGGCAGTGTCTCAATATGCTATCATGTCTTGCTCTTTTACATATCCAAGCCCCTTTCTTCCAGGTTGCTTAGAGCAGAGGCAAGACTAGCTTTATGAACAAGTAGTATATCCATTTTCTAAGGCATTGGTCTCTGAAGCGGAGTGCATGTACCCCAGCAGGGATACAAGACAATCAATTGGAGTGCAGGAAGAAAATATTTTTTTACTAGTAATAAATAAAAATTTAAAAAATTAAAATTGTGGTTATTTCATCTTTATTTCATCTTTTTTTCATTTCTATATTTGGGTATGTTCTACAATGTACTCAATATATTAGTACAGTAGTACATCTATATAATTTATAAATAAATATGCATCTATTGAGGGTGCATGCTGAAAAACATCTTACTGATTATTAAAAAATAATGAATACATATAGTGCTTGAAAATACCTTCACCCATAGATCCAGCCTGAAAAAATACAGTCACAGGAACCAATATTTCTTCAGCTTGGCTGAATTTGACCTATTACCACTCATGATTTTAGGAAAATACAGGGGCACCTACACCTCATTCCATCATGTTACAGGTTTAGCTTAACCAGCCTTCATGCTATACCCGTTTACATGCTCTTGACCAGCTTGTGTAGAAAACTGAATTTCTGTTTAACACACCAGTTATCCAAAAGTCTGAAATAAACCATTCAAGACTCTTCACAGAATATGTTGGTTCATCACAGGGCTTCCATTTTACTATATAACACAGGGGAGAACAAAAGGTCAAACTACAAAAGTTTGAAAACTCTGACCATGAGAAGAGTAAAAAATCCTTCTGTTTCCCCAGTATGTGACATTCTCTAGACTCCATTTTGGGTTCATTTTCATTATCTTGGAATAACTAGTTTCTGAGAAGGATCAAAACCACAGGTAACCTCAGAAAAATGCTTTGGCTTTAAAAAAAGGACTAGAAATCTAATGGGAAGATTTATTATTATATAACTTCCAGCCCAATCTAGCAGATACAGGTGGCTTGGATCGTTCTTACAAACATTAGATTAGCCTTCAATTTCAGATGCTTTATATTAAGTTACCCTTAGGATGTGAGGATATATTCTTAGCTCGGTTTAAATCAGTGGGAATTTTGCCACAGACTCCAAGGGACCCTTACCTTCTACAATTTTGCCTTAACAAGATATCAGTGTTTGCCAAAACCTGCATCTTGATTTATTTGAAAATTATTGCTAAAAATATTTGGCTTAACATGTAATGGGTTCAAATTTTCAGGTGGGATAAATCAGCGTAGCTGCAGAACTGTGCCAGTTTAATCCACCTGAGGATGTACCAGTGGGTTTTATCCTATTTAAGATCATTCATAGTAATAAAGTAATTGTTTTAAAATCTTCCTGGTTTTACACAGCAGGCAGTCACAGTGGTTTCACCCAGGGCTACTGCATTTTTGTGGGTATAAGCTGCAAATCAAGCAAACCCGTCCTTTCAAAAATGTATTATTCCTTGAAAGTAAGTACACAATTAACCTATATTTTTTATTCAGTCCTGGCACCACTCAGCAATCAGAGGCTGTATTTAAATTTAGTCAACACAAATGCAAACATGCCTTTGCAACACTGCTTACAATAGAGAACCTTTGAGTAACAGTGGTTCATTTCTACTAAAAAGTTTATTTGTGTTAGCCATTTGTGCAATTTTACATGTTACTCGTTAACAACTACCCACACCTGTGCAAGATCCTATTTCAACCTCCTTTTTACAAAAAAAAATCTAAAATAAACTCAATTCATTATTACTTAATGTAGTGTTTGTATGATAAGAGAGAAACTTGCCAGTTGAGGACTTGGGCATTTAATAGACTAGTTGAGAGAGAGAAAAGAGAAAGCCTTAAGACAGTGAAAGAAAAATAAACACCTTAACACAACTGCAACTGTAAAGTAACCTCTTCCCCCTGTTACTTCTATAGGCATGTACTTACTCCATGCTGCTGCAGAGTAGAAGAGGGAGGTTCTTCTAGCTAAGCCCTAAGTATTTAAGAAATGTTAGGAAATTTTGGTATTTGCCTTACTTTAAAATAATATAAAGCATTTGGAAGTCAAAGATTAAGCAATGGAAGATATGAGAGAGCAAATCCATGTCATACATAATAATTTATGATAATTATGAACTCACATTGCTGCAGTAGTTTGTTGGACTAAAGCTCACATAATGCAAAATACCATAAAGTAGAAAAAGAAAATCAAAAGACCATTGCCTAACTTAATGAAAATGAATTTATCAGGTAGGGGATTACAGCATGGAAAGTTCTTGTTAATTGTTTCACTGGAAAATTATCTTGACTTTGGATAAATCTTTGTTACTGTACTGTATAAAAGCACTACCAGTTTGGATAAGAAATCGATGTGTGAAAGCTTAAAACCCTTCACTTGCCCATCGTGCCTCTAAGATTTCAGCTAGCAAATGCTTCTTCAACATTTTTAGCAAAAGGCAGGTGTGACCAGCAAGTGATATCTTTTAGTGCAAAACTTGTTTCTTCAGCTTCTGCTCTGCTATACTCTGTTCTCAGTGCAAGTTCTTTACACTCAGAAAAAACATACATGAAATCAATTACCCAAGTCTGTAACTATGCAAGTACTGTTTGAAATAAATTGTTGAAGATGACCAACTTTCCATTGGTTTCCATAGAGTAAGGACTGTAAAATGTGATAGAAAAGTTTGGGTTGGAAGGGACCTTTAAAGGTCATCTAGTCCAACCCCCCCTGCAATGAGCAGGGACATCTTCAACTAGATCAGGTTGCTCAGAGCCCCATCCAACCTGACCTTGAATGTTTCCAGGGATGGGGCATTGACTACCTCTCTGGGCAACCTGTCCCAGAGTTTCACCACCCTCATCAAAAACAATTTCCTCCTTATATCTAGTCTGAATCTACCCTCTTTTAGTTTAAAACCATTACCCTTGTCCTATTGCTACAAGCACTACTAAAAGTCTGTCCCCATCTTTTTTATAGGCCCCCTTTAAGTATTGAAAGGCCTCAGTTAGGTCCAAAACATTTCCCAAATGATCCCTGACATACCTGCCAACTTCCCTGAAGTTACAACAGCAGTAACTTCAGTAAGCAAGTACTGACTGATGAAATGATGGATACACATCATCAATCTGATTGTCAACAGAGGCGTGTTTGCCACAAAGTTTCACATATCTGAGAATTTATGTGGCACATATGGTTCTTGCTGAACTCTGTGAGCAGCTAAACAGCAAAACTGCAAGTAAGGCATGCTCCATCCCTTTTTTTGTGAAGGAAGAGAAATGGAGACAATTTGGTAAGAGCTGTGAAATTCATGTCCCAAGGTGAATTTTTAGTGCAAATTAGCTTTTCATCTCTTAGTATATATACATGTTCAGTATCTTAAGTGATAAGCCATAATGCAGAATGAGTACCTCACTCATTCAACCCTATCTCCCACTGTCTCTTTCATAAAGTAATCAAGATCTACCTAAAAAACTAACCAGATTTTCTGCCTCATTACTAGTCCTTTAGAAGGCTGTTGCCTCACTGCTTTAATAGTTGGAAACCACTTTACAGCTCCCAGGTGAAATTCATTCGGGGTAGTTCATACCTATTTTTCTTGTGCCCAAATCATCACAGAGGAAAACAGTTTCTCTCCCAATATTGCCTCCAGACCTTGTCTTGTTTGTCAAAATGAAGCAAATGCTAGCTGCCTTCTCTTGGAAAGTAGGTGCTTTCCCTGATACATTAGTGCTAGCTAACTTCTCCTGTGTATCCATTTCCCTGAACACAGATGACCAGAATTGTACCTACGGTTCTAGATAAAATCCAGAAAAAATAGTAGGGTTATCTAAAATGGCTTGTACATTTCCTTGTCTGCCTTGTCTGTCTTATTCCTGTCTGTCTGTCTGTCCCATCATACCTAGCTAGATATGGTTTTGGGTCACACTTGCCATTTTTACAGCCACAGTAATTGGACGGCTTACATTTAATCCTATGATCGACTTCTTTCTATGTAGAACACAACATATAATTATATATGGTATAACAACATATTCATATTTCTTCTTTTTTATTATACCTTGTAATTAAATTTATTTCATGACAGAGGGTATTAATGTGTGCTTCATTCAATATGCATTTCACAACTGATGGGCATGTTTAGTTCAGAATTATTGTCTAAATGTTTCTCTGGGTTGCTAAACTGAAATACTTTTCATGCCACAAAAAATCTGCCCACATAATTTGTTTGTTTCTGGTTCTTTACAATAGCTGACAGTAATTCAGAATTTCCTCATAACGTGTGCAATATCATTAAACCTGCTACACCTCAAGTTATTCAAACATATTAAAAGGTCATTTCAAAAATGAAGCAAGTCTACTGACATCTGTGTAGCTCAACTATCCAGAGATAAGATCTCTCACACACTTATAAAAAGTGTGAAAAAATGAAAAATCTAATTAACACCAAGGTTTGTTTCTACAACAGAGAAGAATAAAATTATTCTGAGGTAAACTGACAAGAGTACTCTTGGAAAAAAGTAAGTGATGATACATTTTTAAGACTGATTTGAAGACAGAGGCCAATTTCCCATGAATTTTGCTAGAAAAAGGATTATGAAGTACTCGCCAAGTTGTTCTGGACATATGTGCCAACTTCTCTAGTATGACAGCAGCAAGGAATAATCCCAGCAGGTAAATGTGACTGCCTTTAAACTACTGAGAAAAATGAGCCTTACTTTCTCTGACAACATCCCAAGACCCATGTTTACATACATTGTTCCAAAGACTTCAGTCAGTGGCAAATCTAAATAGCGATATCTAAAAGATACATTGTTTTGACATAGAGTAAGAAATTGCTTTATCTGTTTCACTGACCTTGAAGCTGGCGTCCTTTGTACAAGTCCTTTGTTTTGGTTGGGTGGGCTCTGGCACCGTTATCACACTTAGGTTGTTCATACCTAAAGAACAAACGGGGAGAGAATAAAACCAGCCAAGGTTAATTTGATTTAGAACTACTTCCAATTTTGTAGTCCAAATTAAACTTGTACCTTCTTTTATTCAGGGAATAAGCTTGTTTTTCATTCAGAAGGTGCAATGCAAATTCATCTGCCTATTTTCCACTTACCTCAAAGAAGCCAGCACAACTTTATTCTCCTGGGGTTGATACCAAACTAAACAAATATTATCTGTTCCAAAGCCCATTCTACAGGGAGGAAAACTGAGGAAGGAGAAAACTGTGGGGAACTGCTATAAAGTAATACATAATAAAAAATAATTTTGAAAAAAAAAAACAAAAACCAAAAACAAACCACAAAATCAAAACCAAAGTCAGGCTCTCCTCCCACCTACCAAATCAAAAAGGCATGACCAATGTGACAAATTCTGACATCTGACACAGTATTCCTGTTGGGAAACACCAGAAAAGCAATTTCAAAATCCCAGCAAGCCAGGTACTGTAGTTAGCTACCACTGCAGCTCTAAAGCCATGTGCTACTGTATCCTTTCCAAAAAAAATGTTAGTTCGCATAAGAAGGGCTAACCATGAACAGCTAACATTTTGAACAAGAGTGAAGAACTGATAGGGTTTCCAGAAGGAAGGGAATTGGTCTGGAGCTGCTTGCAATGGATTGTGGAAAAGACTGAATCTCCACCTGCTACTTGAATATTCTGGTTCCTCTATGCTTTCTTAGTTTACTTAAAGTCACTTTGTTAGTCCAGCTGGTAACAAGAAACTCTGCTATTTGTATTTCCAACTAACATTGACTTACGCAATATCTTTCATGCAAGACTGGGAGGCATGGAAGCATCTGCTGCTGAGTCTCTCCTTTTTGTTTCTGTCCCACTATCGATGCATGGTGGTTTTTCACTCAGCTTGACAAAATCTCCTTCTGAGAAATTTTACTTTTTCATTCTCCTAAAGTAGTTTGAAGCTGCAGAATTCAGTGTGTAGCATTTCAGAGAAAGTTTCAATTCTCAGTTAAACACGCTTAGTAATATGACTTGTGTCCACATACATGTGTGTGCACATACATACCTGTTCACTGCATCTGGGTTCTTTCATATTTTATACAACTGCTCATCTTCCTTTGAAATTCTCCTATTCTACGTTCTCCAAAATGACATTTACTGAGAGGCATACTAAAATGTCTAATTAAAATATACTAATCCAAATTTTTGGAACAAAATATTCTTTTTAAAAGCATTAAACGGTGGCTATGTCCTGGATCTAGGCCAGACTGCCCCTAAGACCAATACCTGAGTATTCTGATCTTAATTGTCAGGCAGAATGAAAAAAAACCCAATATTATTTTTCCTTTGAGTGCTTAATTTATTTCCGTATCATCTGATGAAACTGCCCACTGGCCCATCAAACTTTGGCTCCTGCAAGCAGGTACAGTGTTGTTTTCATGGACATGGGAGAGCTAGAGGCACTTTTTTTCCCTAAAGAACAGCAGGAATAGAAGCTGCTTTGATAGCATAGGTTGGATTCAGATACCTGATGGGTGACCACTTCAATCAGCCAAGGAAAGAGTGAAAGGGAAATCTCTGAGCAACACTCACTAATGCAGTACCTGGCAACCAGCCTGGTCCCCGATTAATCTGATACCTGACTCTGCATTCCTCTTGTCCTCTTCCGTTACTGCTCTGTGCCTACACTGTCTTTTATGGCCTCTACTCTTCTACCCTTTGGGCTTATATTTTTGTTAAATACACATGTAGTTCATCATATACAAACTAAATCTATTAAAGCCCAATAAGTGTTAAAATGCTACAATGCGAAAAGTCTACATTTAACTCTTTAAAGCAACTGGAGAAAGAAAATGAATCATTAGAAATTTACCATAAAGGAACAGCCATGCTAAGAACTGATAAGAAAAACACACTTGCCTCAGTTTTCATGGGGAAAGAGTGGGAAAGGGATAGCATGTCAGAATGGAGCACTGTCTGGTTAAAAATAATGTGGTCAAAAGACACGCCAAGTTACTCTTTTGAATTTTAAAGGAGAAAGAATCCTTAGCAGTGGATGTGTATCTAGAGTCGGCAAGGACTTATGAAGGCTGCTTTATACCTCTGAGCAGTCTGCTGGGAAGCACTGAGATTTAGTGAGGTGTACAAAGCAGTAGAGGATGGAGGCTTTCACAGGGATTCTACAGTGTGGGCAGCCTCACGAAGCAGCTGATTTATGTTCTTTTTTAAGTTTAGAGAGTCTTGCGCAAGTGGACTGGGGATTACTTTGCCCATGATCCTAGCTGCTAAAAAGTCGCCTGTGAGAACACAGACTCATGGCCCTGCTGAGCAAAAAGGCTGAGGGTCACGCTGTGATGTCCAAGAGGCATTGGGAGCCCACTGCTGAGGACCATACTGACAGACTTTGGGGGGAAAGGTTGTTTGTACCTTTTAAATGCATTATCATCTTTTAGTCAAATGGATGTTTCCTCTAGGCTTTCATAAAAGCCAGCTTGATACCACAAATTCACATATTTCTTGGGAGTTTTACTATCTTAAATATCCTAGAGTGGTTCTTCATTCACATGTCTTTAGTTTAACTCTATTTTTTTTTTTTTCTGGAATGCCTTCAATGACAAATCATCTTTTTTTCAGATGACAGGACATTAGAAGGTGAATGAGTATTAATAACTTCCCTTCATTTTGGGGGTCTAATTTAATGTGACTACTATTTATTGTGGTATTCAGAGCCTGATGATTTGACAAATTTCATCCTCATGAATGTATTCTAAACAAACAACATGCAAAACACTAAGCTGTTCTGGCAACAGCTTCCCAGATCTGTCTATCCTTTCACTGTTGTCCCCTAGTGATTTGATCCAGATTTGCAGAACAGAGATTCCAGGATGCTATGCATCCTTCTTGCTACCAGGAGTACTAATGCTATCAGTTTCTGCAGTAGAGTTTTAACAGCTACTCTTCCAGTTTGTATTTTGCAGTGGAAAGCTGGAAGATAGCACACACCATTTTGCATTAGCCTCTGGTTCTTTAAACTAGGGAAGAGTCACATGTTCATTCTTCCCATTCTATAAGAAAGAATTACAAAAAGACAACTGCATATTCATCATCATATTCTGATCCCCCTTTACTCCCCTCTGCCAGGGAAAAAAATTTAATTTCATCAATATAGAGAAAAGAAAAAAAAACCCAAGAAATAATTCATGGGATTCCAGCCCAGCTAAATCTTTCTCAGAAATGAGGTCTAGACATTCCTCTTAAACTCCAGGCAGTAATCCCACCTGCTTGTTTACCAAGACTGTAGATTCCTAAATACACCAGTCATTCTTTATTTAGTATGAAACTCCTAAAACTGAGCACTCTACTTACCCATCTGTGCTCAGAAATGTCCTCTCCAGGGATATTACTAAATATTACTTCCTCAGAGCTTCACTGAGAACTGCCCTTGAGTCCAGCAAAGCTGAACAAATTAGAAATGGCCAAAGCCACAGCAATTGGTCTTCTGAGTATCAGTCAACAGACAGAGCACTCAGTGAACAAAAGGAAGATTTGTGTCTGAACCATACGCATGAAATGATTGAATTCAATTTGCCAGACTTCCAACTCTGGAGACATACAGCACAGTGAAAGACCTCCCTGCCACCTCTTCTCCCACAGCTGAGTGACTGTAGTTGCCAAGCACAAGAGGCCAGCAGACCAAACAGGAAAAAAAGAAGACCAAGACTGATTCTAGATCCATAGATGATTCATCAAGGGGTTGGGAAGAATTAGAATTCCAGTCTATATGACAGTAGAAGCCAAAATCACACCCATTGCATGCACACTATACATATGAATAGAAAAGTGAGTTGGTTGACTTTCAAGGATTACCAACTCCATTTTCATAAATCTCGATGTGCAGGATGAACAAGGAGTACCTAGCAAAATTCAGATTTAAAAAGGAAGTATACAAAGGGTGGAAACAGGGTCAGGTGATACAGGAGGAATATACAGACACTGTCCAAGTGTGCAGGGATGGGGTTAGGAAAGCCAAAGCCCCCTGGAGCTAAATCTCGTAGGGGGCATGAAGGGCAACAAGAAGAACTTCTTATGCACCTATCAGCAGCAAAAAGAAGACTAGGGAAAATGTTGGCCTGCTGCTGGGTGGGACAGGGGACCTTGTGACAAAGGACATAGAGAAGGCAGAAGTACTCAATGCCACCTTCTCCTTGGTCTTTCCTTGTAAGAACAGTCTTCAGGAACCCCAGGTCCCTGAGACCGGTAGTAAAGTCTAGAGCAAGGAAGACTTACCCTTGGTGGAGAAGGATCAAGTCAGGTATTGTTTGAACAAACTGGACATAGAGAAATCCATGGGACCTGATGGAATGCACGGACAAGTGCTGAGGGATCTGGCTGATGTCATTGTGAGGCCACTCTCAACTATATTTGGAAGGTTGTAGTGACTGGGGATGGTTCCTGGGCACTGGAAGAAAGCAAATGTCACTTCTGTCTTGAAGAAGGGCAAGGAGGAGCTGAATAACAAGCCAGTTAGCCTTACCTCAATTCCTGGGAAGGTGATGAAAGCAAATCCTCCTAGAAGCTATTTCAAAACATATGAAGGACAAGAAGGTGATTGAGAGTAGTCAGCGTGGATTTATGAAGAGGAAATCATGCTTGGCCAACACTGCAGCCTCTTCAGATGAAAAGAGAAGAGCAGATGTTGTTTATCTTAATTTTAGCAGGGCTTTTGACACTGTCTCTGATTACATTCTCATAGACAAACTGATGAAGTATGTGCTAGATAAACTAACAGTGAGGTGTGTTGAAAACTGGCTGAACTGCCAGTCTCAGAGTTAGGATCAGCAGCAGAAATTTCAGCTGGAAGCCAGTCACCAGTGGAGTGCCCCAGAGTTCAATACCAGAGCCAATATTGTTTAACCTCTTCATTAATGACCAGGATGCTGGGACAGAGAACAACTTCAGCAAGTTTGCACATGATACAAAATTGGGAGGAGTGGCTGATACACCAGGGGCTTGTGCTGCCATTCGCAGGGACATCAACAAGCTAGAGAAATGGGCTGGAAGGAATCTCATGAAGTTCAAAAAAAGGCAAATGCAAAATTCTTGCACCTGGAGAAGATTAACCAGCACAGGATAGGGGCCAACCAGCTGGAAAGCAACATTGCGGCAAGGGCCTGGGATTTCTGATGGAGGCTGAGTATGAGGCAACAATGTGCCCTTGAAGCAAAGAAGACCAACAGCCTCCAGAGCTGCATTAGGAAGAGTATTGCCAGCAGGTCGAGGGAGGTGATCCTTCCCTTCTCATTCGCACTGGCAAGACCATATCTGGAGTGCTGGGTCCAGCTCTGGGCTCCCCAAACCAGATGGACATGGACATACTGGAGTGGGTCTAGCAAAGGGCCATGAATATGATTAAGGGACTGGAGCATTTGACATAATAAGGAAAGTGTGAGAGAACTGGGACTGTTCAGCCTGTGGAAGAAAAGGCTCAGGGGAGATCTTATTGGTGTCTATAAAAATCCAAAGGTGGGGAAATAACAAAACTAAGTCAGACTCTTCTCAGTGATGTCCAGTGACAGGAAAAGAGGCAATGGGTATAAAATTAAATAGAGGAAATTTCATTTAAATGTAAGAAAAAACTTTTATTTTTTTAACTGTGATGGTGATCAAACACTAGAACAGGCTGCCCAGAGAGGCTGCGGACTATCCATCCTTGGAGATATTCAAAGCCCGACTGGACATGGTCCTGAGCAAGCTACTCTAGCTGACCTTGCTCTGAGTAGAGGGGTTGGACTAGAGAATCTCCAGAGGTCCCTGCCAGTCTCAACTATTCTATGATTCTATAATGATACTCATAAAGAAGAACTACAAAAACATCAGCAGAAGCCCCACTGCTTGATGAGCACAAGAAGATGATTTGGACTCAAATTAGAGAATAGGAACTAAGACTCCATAAAATTATTTAAACTATAATTCAAAGAAGGATTAGCACTAAAACCAAGAAACAGTAACAGAAGAAGAGCAGAAAAGGGAGCCTCTGAAATTTCTAGAGGACATCTCTAGGTCCTCACACAATATGTGTACTGATCCTACAGTTTCAGGACCAAATTGGATTATTTTGCTTTTGACAGTTTATGGATCTCAACTTGCCAGAAACAGCAGATCAACAGTAACTTTAAGTCATGCTCACTTCAGCTGTTACTGTAATTGGCACAGTCTAGACTACAGTGTAAACAGCTATAAGTAAATTAGCACTTGAAGAATATGTGAAAAACACTCCCCCAAAATATAATACTTTACAGCAAGTAGCTTATAATGTTTTTTCATAAACCTTGTGCAAATGATAAAAAATTCTTTTTGCTTAAGCTTCAGAAGATTTATGTTTGCATCAAGATATCCATACTGCCCGTCAGCTTTATATGAGCTTCTATAGCATACTTACAAGGGCCAAACCTCAATAACCAGCCTAAATAACATCCTTTGGAATCTGATACTTGCCTTGCCTACATCTGCTCTATGTGGCTCACAACATTTTACCATATATCAGGCTCGGATGAGATGACTGAACTCCAAGCTTCTATTAATAACACACTAAAATGATATTTCCTCTCTATGGGTTCCCAAGCAGTTGTTCCATCAAAGCCAGTCACATGAAATAGTTGAGGAGGTTGCTGGAAAAATAACTGAACATTTCTGAGGTTGGATGTGGTTTCTGTATAGACCATCTTACTTGGTTCTTCTATATTCAGGCTAAGGAGTATGAGGTTTCCTCGGGGCTTATTCATTACCTGCTCCAAGCCTTGGCTTCCCAGCACAAAATGGAAGTAAAAAAGAGGACTAGGGAAGCAAACTGCCTGTGACATTGCAGTGAAGGAGTCTGTGACCATCTGGCCTTAACTTTTGATGTCTCTTAGAAATATTTCACTTCATAGTGGAAAAAACCTATATGACAGTCAGTCTCACCTCTGTGAGAACTCTGTTTCCCGGCAAGATCATGGAGCAGATCCTCCTGGAAACTGTGCTAGGGCACATGGAAAATATGGAGGTGATTGGTGACAGCCAACATGGCTTCACCAAGGGCAAATCATGCCTGACAAATTTGGTGGCCTTCTATGACGGGGTTACAGCATTGATGGATAAGGGAAAAGCAAGTGATGTCATCTACTTGGATTTGTGCAAAGCATTTGACACTGTCCCACACGACATCCATGTCTCTAAATTGGAGAGACATGGATTTGATGGATGGACCAGTTGATGGATAAGGAATTGGCTGGATGGTCACACTGAAAGATCAATGTGTGATCAATGGCTCACCGTCCAAGTGGAGAGCAGCAACAAGTCACATTCCTCAGGCATCGGTATTAGGACCAGCACTGTTTAACATCTTTGTCAGCAACATCGCCAGTGGGATTGAGCGCATCTTCAGCAAGTTTGCCAATGACACCAAGCTGTGTGGTGCGGCTGATGTGCTAGAGGGAAGGGATGTCATCCAGAGGGACCTTGACAGGCTTAAGAGATGGGCCAGTGCAAACCTCATGAAGTTCAACAAGACCAAGTGCAAGGTCCTGCACACAGGTTGGGGCAATCCCAAGAACAAATACAGGCTGGGCAGAGAATGGATTGAGAGCGGCCCTGAGGAGAAGGACTTGGGGGTGTTGGTTGATGAGAAGCTCAACATGACCCGGCAACGTGTGTTTGCAGCCCAGAAAGCCAACCGTATCCTGGGCTGCATCAAAAGCAGCGTGGCCAGCAGGTTGAGTGAGGGGATTCTCCCCTTCTACTCCACTCTGGTGAGACCCCACCTGCAGTACTGCACCCAGCTCTGGGGTCCTCAGCACAGGAAAGACATGGACCTGTTGGAGCGAGTCCAGACGAGGGCCATGAAGATGATCGGGGGCTGGAGCACCTCTCCTATGAATACAGGCTGAGAGAGTTGGGGTTGTTCAGCCTGGAGAGGAGAAGGCTCCAGGCAGACCTTAGAGCAGCCTTCCAGTACCTAAAGGAGGCCTACAAAAAAGCCAGAGGGGGACTTTTTACAAGGGCATGTAGTGATAGGACAAGGGGCAATGGTGTTAAACTGAAAGAGGGTAGATTTAGATTAGATGTAAGGAAAAAGTTCTTCCCTGTGAAGGTGGTGAGACACTGGAACAGGTTGCCCAGAGAGGCTATGGCTGCCCCATCCCTGGCAGTGTTCAAGGCCAGGTTGGATGGGGCTTTGAGCAACCTGATGTAGTGGAAGGTGTCCCTGCCCATGGCAGGGGGGTTGGAACTAGGTTGTCTTTAGGGTCCCTTCCAACCCAAACCATTTTATGATTCTTTGGATCTATGATGTAATTCCACGAGCAACAGAAATCTACATGCTAGTACATGCACACTAAGGCATCTTCTCTATACAACTTTTGAGCACTGAACATGTATTCCCTTACCTGGTTGATGTACCAGGGATGGGACGTCCTGTATCCACCAGAACACACCAGCAGTAGCCTGTGGAAGGATGGCACTGCACTGGCTTGTAGAGGCCACCCTGAGCACACTCTGGAATGAACACATTGTCTTTCTGGGGCTGTTTAGCTTCCTCCAGGGCTGACTGAAGTTCTTGATCACATGACGATGCTTTTGAAAGGAAAAGAAAGAAAAAATACTCAAAAAGCTATATGGAAAGGGCCTACTAGATTTATCAAACAGGTTTTACATCTTTCTTTGATTGCATATAAGGATTGTATTTGAAGAGGTTTGCTAGAGCTCAAATACCAGCTATATTGATTCATGCTGTATACTGCTAGGAACTTTAGTTTCCTTTTCGTGCAGCTACTTCATAATGTGGTCCTAATAATATCTTGACCCCCCCCCCCCCTTTCCTATACTAGATATAATCTATGGATAACCATATACTTTCTCTGCCACCTTAAAAAATCCTTACTGACTCCACAGCCCCTAAACTACTGATTCTTTTCAGAGGGAACAGTAAAAATCCAACTACTTAGTATTTCTTATATGAGTTATTCATCTAGATATTAATTTAGATGTTTATATTCTGCTCTTCCTTTCCAGCTTTGGAACAACCTCTTGGTACAGTGAAAATTCTTCCACCTACTTTTCTGGTGATTTTAGTATTGGTGATGTACCATTTGCTCTGGAGACCAAAGACCCACAAGAAAAAGTAATATATTTTTACCTCTGCATTACAAATACGTCCTAGATCTCTTCTGGATGTGAGAAAAGCTTACATGTCTACACATTCCTAGCCTTTACGTGAAACTATGAACCAGGGAGCAAAGAGCAGAAACCCCAGGGCCTGAGAATGACAGTCAGTCCACACCAATCAGTAGAAAACCATCTCTGCTGAGGATTTTTGATCACTACTAAACTGGTATATGTGGCACTGCAGAGATAATAAATGAGACAATTTGTTCAAGCCATTGTTTCTCCAGAAACTTTAAAGTCAGTCTCTTATCATGTGAAATTTAGATGGTAAATAAAACAGGTTGTGTGTAATTCCCAAAATAATCCAGTGAACAAAAATTAAAATTTGAAAACAAGAATGTTAAGCACTCTACAAATTACTGATAGGAAAATTTCAAGTTTCTAGAATTTCAATCAATAAAAGATTCTCTTCAGTTAAAGAAAAGTCATTTTAATGTTACAAAAAAAAATCTATGGGTAATATTTCCTCTTCTTTCAAGTCAGTTAAAGACTGGTGACACACTTATTCTCTGAATCTCTAGCAGGATTTACTTCTTGATTTTTCACAGTTCAACCCACAGCAGAACAAGTTGAATCCTGACTGGATTTTCTAGTCTGTGTAATGAGTTTCAGCTTCAGTCTAATCTCATTTGCTCTGAACCCACAGGGTTCAGAAAACGCTTTGCAAATTGTTGGCAAAAACTGACAGAAAGTGGCTAGTTATGTCCGGAATGCTACTGCTCCTTGCCAGCTTCTTGCAAATGCAGATGACCAAAATCAGTAAGACTTCTGTTGCAGGGGAAAAGGTGGCAGAAAGTTAAACACCTTCATACTTTAAATGGCACACAATTCCATCTATACAATGGCCTGGTTTCCAAAACAGTGTGTTTTGTTCCAGTCCATGCAAAAGGTTTAAAAAACAAGCATATCACTTGCTAACTTGATTACAAGGCAGAGATGGAGTGTTTTTTCAGTTCTTTGGTTGTTGGTTTGGGGGTTTTTTGCCTCTTTTGTTTCATATGGTATTTGAGCAGGGCAGCTAGATAAATTGATTGATTTTGCATGTTTTTGTCTTGGTCTACCCACTGGCATAATCAGACGTTGAATAGCTCTCAAAGCACCAGTGTTTAGATAATAAACTGTACTTAGAGAATCAGTGTAGTGAAGACAGAAAGGCTTCTTTAAAAAAGGGAAAGAGCTAATTATTTGCATGTTAAAACCTTCACAGAAATACCTATGGCTTCACAAATTAGAAATCCATCACCAACATCCTCTTAGAGCAGCCAAAATAAATCTTTCCCTCAGTGAATCTGGATTATGATGATTATTAAGTTACAAGGTATGGCAATCCTGGAAAACACATCACTTAGCTTAGTTGTTCACTTTTTATGTTTTGTATATAATCAAGCAAAAAAGAGCAAACGGGGTGAAGCAGCTGCAGTGAGAGGGAGGAAATCATTACTCCTCTTTAAACTCCACTAAATTCTTTTCTCTTTCATACTGATAAACCTTGGGACCGTTCCATTAGCTACTGTGACCTTCTCTTGTTTTACATTCTTGTAACTAGCAACACAATCTGGCAGATGTGCAGGTATTATTATCTCTTGCAAACCCAGAGGAGCGATACATTTTCATGCTCTCAGCTTTGTTTAGAAAATACATTGGTGTATAGAGACTGCATAGTCGGGTCATCCAGATAGACAAACTGTAACAGCACGGAGAGGGTAGGATGGAGAATTCCCAGTGCAGAAGCAGATACGGACCATTTCAGCTGTGAGCATAAGCTACACCACCTAATTTCTGGGAAGCTCTAGTTTCCACTGATTGAAACAACCAGCAAAGGACTGCCCTGCTGACTCAAAACCACTGGAGTCAGGGACCAGCACAGTCACCTGCATCGTGATGGCTCAGGAGCTGGTGTTACAGACCTAGATAAATGGTCTTTAGTCTCCTGATGGACTTGCTGAGGCAAGGTTTCCTACAAGCTGCTGCCCAAGCTAGAAATTTGTCTCTTTTGCACTAGGTCAGGTTTGTCCTGGTTCTTTTTCTGCCTTACATCTGGTTTTACGTCTCAGAGGTACAGAAAAGCAGTATTATGGGAGAGATGTCAAAGGAGGGTTGCAAATGTGGCTTATGGCTTAGGAGGGACAGTCAGAAGACTAGTGAAACTTAACATTGCAGGTGAGACTGGGACCAAACGGGCCAGCCAGTGACAATAATCAAAGGAAAGTTTAAAGATAAAAAGGAGAGTTCCTAGTAGTAGAAGTCTATGAAAAATAGACAAAAAAGCAGGATTCACACCAAACACCAAGGTAGAAGTCCTGTAACTGGGAGGACTCTAGTGATGAAGTCTGCCTTTGAAGCGCAGCATCAGCACAGGCATTCAAGACAAAAAAACATATAAAAAAGAAACTATAGTATTTTCAGGAAGGACTTTCCCCTTCCTGGAATTTTTAATTTCTTACTCTTTCCCTATGGATGGGAAATTGTAACAAGAAGAGGAATTTACCATTAGTCCTAAATTAGTTGTCAGACAAAACGTAGATTATTTTCAACAAATTGGAAAAAATATAAATTAGTGTGGTGGACACTATGTCTGTCAGTTCTATACGTGTCAAATGACTGAGCCTTATCACAAAACTGCTGAACCCAGTTCATTCATTTTATTCACCAAAAGTGCAGTATAGTTCGTTATTTTCCTCTGTTACACTATGGCTAATGAGCTTCAGGTCACCTATCAGGCAATCTGCTTAGTGACTGCCCAAGACAGTCATTTCTGCAGAGTCCAATACTTTTGTATGCTTTTGACATGACCATTTGTGCCACCATTACTACTTCCCTGCTTGTTTTGCCCGCTAGAGCACTGTTCCTACCTAAAGGAAGGAAAACTGCTCTAAAGTACTTACCTATAATCCTGCCTGCTTTTCCCAGAACCAGAATATTAGTCCTCTGTGTAATTTCCTCTCCGAGGGAACTGTTCATTCCTGTTCAAACTTTTCTTTCAATTATTTAGAACAGAAGTACTGGACTGATGCAATTGTAGCCCTGTGATGACTAAGAGCTCTTATCACAGAGCTACCATACTGCTGCAAATAATTGCCTTTGTAATGTCAGAAGAGTCATGGTCAACAAACATTCATTTGCCAGGAGAAGCAGTGATAAATGTCATTAACTTAGAAAATGCTTGACAGTTTGTCCAAACAATCTGACAACAACTATGATGTGGAACCATAACAGATGGATACCGGAAGTTCATAAAGCAAACAGTATGGAAAAAGATCTATGCCACAATAAAAGTAGGATAAATACCTTAATCATTAAAATGCATCAAACTTTCTATGGAATGTGTTACTACAATAACATTCCTTCTGGCAAGAGAAAAGCACTGACACTCCAGCTTCATCTTTTCAGTCAATATGCTTACACTGTTGTTATTTCACTTAGTTCCTTTAGTTTTGTCTTGCTGGAAAAAAAGGGATGCTTTTCCAAGCATCTTAGTTCAATAAAATAGTTAGAAATAGCTGAAAAAATCCCTTCCACATAGTCTACCATGTTAGCCAGCCACACTGTAGTTCAGTTTGGAACCTTAATTTCAGGTTGATAAACCTTCCTGCATTTTCTACCCAAAGCTCTATTTTATTCTAGGTTCATAAGCATTAGTGATTCAACACACAAATTTCAATCAAGTAAGGAAATACACCTTTCTACCCAGTTTTACACCAAGAGCCTTTGTACGACTCAATGACTATCTACCTACTCTGAAAAATGAATTTTTGAATGATGAAGTAAAACCACTAAGAATGAGTTTAAAAACCTGCTTTAAATGTAATGTCTGTTGCTCTTCCCATGTCATATGGCTATTCCATTTCTTCCCTTTTTACTTTAAATGTTAGTTACTAAATGTACTTTTCCTGTTCTCATTCAAGACGCCTTCATAGTCCATTGCAAACAACCAGCTGAAATGCTGCATCTTGTCTCAGTGAGAAAGATACTCCAGCTAATGTCAAACTCTGTGGATAAGCTTCATGTTTTGTATAAAATCTTCAGTCAACTCTTGTTGCCAATTATCCCTAAGAAAACAGTCTGAATTTCAGTGAATCAAGTTAACTTACATGAACAGAAAAATACCTCAATAGTAGTAGGGTATAACACTGTAAATCCTTATTTATGAAAGACTCTGTTTATCATCTCTGATGGGTTACATAAACTGTAATTAATGTTTACTAGGGGATGTCCTAGAGGAGAAAAGAGGTAGCTTTTCTGGAAGAAGCATCCTGAACAAACTATGTAACTGTGCATTTGTCTGTAGCACATTTAAAACACCGAGCACCGTATTATGTAAGTTATGATAACCATCTTGTTAGTCTTGTAACAAGAGATGTTTTAGCTTCTTGTTTCAGAAATTCTAGCAGTTGCTGTGCTATGTCTTA